CTGGTAGTCATCAGTTTTGTGACCGTGGATCCTGTGGAATTTGCAGTAGGGGCCTGTTTTGTCCACAGGTTGATCTCATTGACCCGCGGATCCCGGACCACTAGCTCATCCTGATCAGCCACTTCGAGGACGTGGCTGACAGTGTGGGTCATTGGAGTCAGGACCTCTAATTCCATGAGCTTCGGAGCAGACCAGGGGCGCTTTCCTTTGTAGTTGCCCCTGCCCCGGTTCCGGTCACCATCGTCACGGGGCCGCTCTTCCCGCTCATGTTTTTGTTTTTCCTACTGCTTTGGCTCTTCCTTCTGGGGTTAACAACATTTTCCTGTGCCTTCTTGCGGATGTGCACCTCCTCCGTTAGGGCATAATTCTGCCCTCGCTAGAGTGCCCACTGATAATCCCTTGGGGGATTTGTGATCATGCTTCTTGAGAAGCCTCCCGTCCAAAGGACTTCCTGCAATATGGCTAGGCAGGTGTTGTCATCCGCGACGTAGACCTTGGAGGTCTCTTCATTCCACCTTTAGAGAAACTTGCCGAGGGGCTTCTTTCTGTCTTGCTTAACAGTGAGCAGGTGGGAGAAATGCTTCTTTGTCTTTGCTCTTGCAGCAAAGTGGGTAAGGAAGCATGTGGCTAGCTCCCTCCATGAGTCAATGCACTCGTCTGGCAGATCGTTAAACCAGTCATATGCTTCCCCCCTCTAGTGTAGAGGGGAACATCCTGCAGATGTATTCGCCACTAGCACCCATCATATACATGCCGGATTGGTGGCGAGAATAATTCTCCTTGGGGTCAGTTTTACCCCCCCCCCCCCCCATAGAGTTGGAAGTTGGGTCCCTTATACTTTGGGGGTATAGGAGCTTGCATTCTGGTGGTGAAAGGGGTGACAATCCTTACTTTCACCGTTATTGGCTCGTTGTTGATTTGAGCCTGCATTTGCTAAACCTGGAGTGTCAGCGCCTCTACCTGGGCATCATGCGTCGTAGGTTGGGGAGGTGGCGGCGGTACTGCTGTGACCACTGCAGCCCGCAGTTCATTCTCCTGTTGAATGAGGATGCATATATGCTCCTTTCTTGGATCCACCTGGCGCTGTCGCCGTGGTGGAGACTCCATTTCTCGCCTTGGCGGTGTGAGCCGTGGTTGGCCTAGAGGTTGTTGTTGTTGGCACGGTGGTGAGATCCGCTCTTGCCTTGGGGGAGAAGGTGGTTGTTGGTTAAGTGGGGGAATGATTGCCACCTAGCCTCTCCAAAGCAGGTACACGCTCTGGAGTCCTTCTCCCTTGTTATTGCGGCTACTGTTGGTGCCGCTAGGGAACATTCAGGACTGGGGAGTTTGCCCTGTCCATCCCCTGAAGATTTGCAAGATAGGCGCTGGTTGGCTGTAGATCTGTCACCCAATTGGCTGAAGATGGGACGCCTTCCCACCTGAATCCAGGGATTGGGGTTGTTGTCCAGTTGCTGCCCCTGCGAGCGTAGGACTGTGAGTAGTGCTATGTGGTGATGGTGTAGACGCGTTCATCATTGTGGCAACTGTAGTCCATACGACGTGCCGTATATTTCAGCAGCAGCGTGGGGGGTGGCGGTGGTCCCACAAATTGTAATGCCACGACGGGGCGAGAAGTTCCCGTCTACTATGCTAGAGGCACAACATCCACAGGTGCGCTAGAAGCCACCTGACGTATTGGGGGGAGTTGGTCCCCGGTGTGGCCCTTTGGCGTGGTGGAGAAGGGTAGACGATTTCTGCAGGCCTGTCCACCATCCAAGGGGCGTCAACGGAGCCCACCCTCAGAGACTGGGACCTGGAGGACATCGGAGAGATAGGCATTGTGGCATTGTTTGCCATGGCTGTTGCTGCCTGGGATGGCAGCGTGGGTAGCTCTTGCTGCAACCCGATGATGAGGGACCTAATCGCCGCAGAAGGATCCGCCATTAAAATTTTGGAATTGCGGGATCATTTGAGTGGACGCTATTGTCGTTGCATCGCGATTCTGGGAGATGTGCTAGCGGAGATCAGGAGAACCTCATTGGATCTGGTTGCGCAGATCCGCGGACGCTGGGGCAGCCTGCTTTCCTTTAGTAGCCCTTCGAGCATTGGAGGTAGCAGTCGTCTCCATGGAGGATTCAGGTTGGGCGACGGCGGCAGCAGCACGTCTGTTTCACATCATTCTCTTTCCTCCAACCATTGTTTAGGATTTAGAGAAAATAGGAGGATCTGACTTGATTTACCGTTCTGCTCTCAATGAAGGCACCAAAATGATGGATCGCCGACTTGGGGGTATCCGGAATCCGGGAAAAATAAGTAGTAGGAGAAGATCGGAAAAGCCAAGTGAGATCAAGTGAATATTTCAGCAGAGTAACAGCAAGAGAGTCTAATTGTAGATCTCTTTCCACAGGTTGGAAGGTGATACTTATACTAAAGGAGTAATACTTGGTGTCCAAGTAAAAAAGATGTTATTCTAGTGTGGAGAGGACGCGTGTCCTGCCTGCCTAACATACTAAACAGACTGGTCTACTAGGGTGTTTCCACGTGTAAAGGTGATTGGAGAGACAAATGAGACAACTAGCTAATTGGAATTGCCTGTAACAAACTAATACCAGAATACACTTGCGGGCTACACATGTATTATCCGGAATATTCTTCTTCTATCTGCTGGGAGTGACGTGGCACCTCTTGGAGGTAATGATGACGTGGCGATAACTTTGTGCAGCTATTGATTCCGTGTATTGTCCAAGTCCATAGTGTTTAATGAGACCCCGAGCTCCCTGAGGTCAGAGCTCGGACGCTCGCACTCGTTGCAGGAGGATATGTCTTTGGTCTTCAGTCTTGTCTTGCAATGCTGACTTCGGTGGACCTTGCGTCAACACCCGAGATCAGAGCTGGTACCGAGCTCGGTGTGCCCGAGCTCGGCCTCATATCCTGCATTCTCTGGGTGATTCCCGGGCTTGGCGCTTCCGCCGACCTCGGGGGGTCGAGGTCGGCCTCGGATGGTCTTCTGTCCTTTGTCAATTCATCGTCTTGGGCTTGGTCCCGATCTTTGTGGATCGGGGTCAACCTATATTGGAAGCTTGGTACTTTGAGTGTTTTGTGGTGCTTCTATGAGCGATCATGATACCCCTGGAGTCTGAGAATATACTCCATCAGTCATACTTTTCCATCACTTTTGTGCACTTGCATATAATGTATTTGTCCAACTCCTTTGTCCAAATATTGGCCTCTCTCCCACTCCTATGCTAGTCAAACTCATCCTTCCCTTGTACTCCTACCTCTCTTTTAACCTATAAAACATGGAAACACGAAACATGTTTCCCTATTTCGGAAACTTTGATATGCATTATAGACATTCAGAAACCTCAAATATAATCCCTGTAACATTTTTTAAATTGAAATAACCTATATTGTGATTTAGATAACCATAAACCTTACAAGAGACCTCATACCACCATTGTTATCCACACTAGACTCAGAACATGAAGATCATCTCACCCTCTCGTCAGAAATAAGAAAAGATCATCCTAAATTGAGCATACCGTTTCGCCAACCATATGAGAGCATTAATTCTTTTTGGCTCCAATATAGCTTGATAATGCCTAATCATCCCAAAAACCTGATATAAATTTTCACACTCGATCGAAGATCCATATTGAAAAATATACTCAATAACAACAGAGTACAAAATTAATGTGTCAACTTGCACATCACAACCAGCTTCTTCATTCTGCATCAATCATGGTGAGCCAAGCTGTCCCGGCCTGCCTCCTTCCAGGTTTCAGATTAACCATGCATCTCGACCTTACTCCTGCACTGCAACCACATCCATCCTCTTCCTCCCGACGATGATGCTTTATGTCAAGTTCCATTGGGTCTCGCCCGGTACATGCATCCACCATTCAGAATACTTCGCTCTCCACACATGTCTTCCCTGATTTCAATTGGCTTCGCGGCATCTCCAGATTCACTCAACTCCCTGCACCCGCCACTGCTCTCCACGAAAAGAAATAAGAAAGCAGTTAGGCAGGTATAAAAAGATCCTAAGGAGAAAGTAGATCACCTAGGTTCTATGTTGTACGAAATCACAAAAAATCACGAGGAAACAAAAAACGGAAAACCTCAGCTTTTGCTCAAAAATTGAATGTTTGGAGAGTTTCCAAACAGTTTTCGTAGAGTTTCAAAACAGAAACGTACTCTTTCACGAGAGTTTCCGTGGTATATAGCCTAGGCACATCCGTTCTTGATTTTTTTTCCAATCACTCCTGTAGCGTTTTCTTAATTAAAAAGAATCGATAAACTCATTTACGTAGTAATTCTGGATTTTCACTTTTTCTTTGTGATAAGCTTACTTAATAGAAAACAGTGTATTATACAAGAATTAGTGAATTTTATGGATTTTTTCCAAGTAATATTGTGGTATTTGATAACACAATGCATTGTTAAGAATGTATTGCATTTTATGTTTAACTATGAATTAACATAATGTGATAATTTGTTCAGAAAAAATGTAGCGTAATTATATTATACAATGGGAACATGTATTCATTAGTTATAGCTGTGTAACTTAAAATTTGACCTTCCAATTCAATTATACAAAATTTTGGCCAATTATTTTCATTAACATAAATTTATACTCCATAAGATGAGAGTTACGAGTATTAAATTCTAACTTTTATTAAAATATTTTTAACATGTTTAGAGTTTAATTTGACGGGCTCAATAAATCAAACATGTCAAGGTTTGTAAAGTTATACTAACAATTATGTGCATATATCTTTCTTTCACATTACACTTGTGTACACACAGAGTGGTATATAATTCAATTCGTGTAAATCGAGTATTGACTAAAATATATACTCCCTCCATTTCTGAAACAAGTTCCACATTTGACTTCACACATATTAAGAAAATAAATTTGATTTTACTGTTTGGCACTGTTTGAACACTGTTTTGGTGAAATAGATTCGTTCATTCCTAATGAGTGTAGTTTTATACTTTTAATAAATGGATAATTAAATTGGGTTTTCATCACACCTCTTCACAATTTTTGGACTAATCACACCACCACGCATTAATGATTTTTAAAATGGGTTGTAAAGTCCAACATCACTCAAAATATGGACTGCAAAGTCAACTCTTCCCTTTAATAAAAGGGTAATTCTATTTGCAGCCCTTAAATTACTAATCACAGCCATTAAATTAAACAATAATAAATAAAAATAAATCTAATATCTACACTACCCTCCCTTGCGGCAGCCACATAACAATGGAGCTCCTCGTCCACCGTGCAGCCTCAGCCAGAGAAAGTGAGCAACGGAGGTGACACTGAACCTTCGGAAAAGTTGAACCAAGTCCGTCCATCTCTACCCGCCCACACCACTTTCCGGCAGCCGGCGATTTCAGATGGTGGCTAACCGGCGAACCCAGCCATCCACCCTTATCCATCAAACCACAATCCAGCGGGAGGCGGTTTACAACAGCAGCCAACCGGCGAAGTTCTGGTGACAAATAAACCACAGAACATGAACCCCTTTGCCCAACCACCCCACCTAGTCCCCGGCAACAACCAGGCTTTCCGGTAGTTGGCGATAAGAGGAAGAGACCAAGAAACACAGCCGGAAAACACATAAGCATACCAGTCCACGAAAAAACAGAGAGCTACACCAATTGAACCAAGCGTATCTGTCAGCGTTTATGAGTTTACGGTCCGAAATGAACCACGTCAGAGCGACTACACATCAAACACCGGCCGGCGAGCAAAGGTGGCTACCAACTCCAGAGCTCCTCCCTTGGCTTAGCACAAGTCCGTAAGCAGTAGTGAAAAGTGGGGGCTGCATGAAGATCTGCATCCAAAATCAGGAGGGAATTAGCAGTGGCGAAATCATAAACATATAACATGAAATAAACAAATTACAATCATTCACCAATTCAAAATTAGGGGGGCTAAAATCAACAAATAACAACAATGCAACCATTACAACCAGTGGACCTGGTGGTTCACTGGTTCGGCTGGTCCGCCTGCCCGGCCGGCAGGTTCGCGTCGGCGTCGTTGGGCCTTGGGGGCTACCGCCCAGGTTGCCGGTTTGCGTCGCTGACTCGCCGTCGTTGGGCCTTGGGGCGTTGGGGATTTTGGGCGCACGTTTGCCTAGCAGCGTAGGTGTCGTTGGTGAGAGAATGGTGTCTGGGTCTCAAGTCTGCGACTTTGGAGACGGAATTGGGGCTCAGGTTCATGGGTTTGGTTATGAAGTTGGGCTTCTGATTTTGGGCTGGGTGTAATACTAATATTATTGGGCCCTTTAGTAATCCGGGCCGTGTGCGGTTGGACTGAGCAGACATGCCCTGGGCCGGCCCTGATGGAGGCCCCGTACATCGGTTAATACTAGGGGTGAACATAAAAACCAAAAAAACCGAAACTGATCAAAAGTGAACCGACCAAAACCGAAACTGACTCAAACGATTAACCATTAGCGGTTCGGTTTATGGTTTCACCTTTTGGGTTAAAAAACCAACCGATAAAAACCGACAAAAACATGCTAAAACCAACTGAAATTAACCGAACCAAAACTGAATCGTAATCGATTCAGGTACTGTGGTTCGGATTACAGTTTCACCTTGTCTAAAACCGAAACTGATAAAATCGAAAGGATATAACTGAAACCGTACGACGAACACCCCTAATGGTTACGAAGCAATATCGTAACCCTTGGGATGTCTCTTTTCATAATGATAAATGAAGAATTGTCTCTTATACATCATATACACATGATGTATCATGGACTCCAACCATGGCCCAATTACGGAATTATAGATAAAGCTTTTAACAGGATCAAGCCTTCAACGACATCAGCCCTCAACGGGATTAGCCCATAAACGGGATTAGACCTTCCTATCAAGGGACCGAATTCCGGAATAAGAATATTACCTTACGCTGCCATATTTTTATCTGCTCTCGTAGATATAACTCTGGTAGTTGGATTAAACTCCTTTTAACACGTTTGTGGTATAACCCTTCTCAGACCCTCACATTATGGTAACAACAGGCCCGGCCCAGCCCAGGTGCAAGTGGAGCAACTGCACAGGGCCCCCAATTTGGAGGGCCCCCAATTTTTTAAACCCTACTAGTATACCTAGGCCCATTAATAGAGTAATAATATGAAAAAAGACAGCCCGTCAACCCGATCCAAGACTTCCTGACGCGTAAGACTCATCATCTTCCCCTTCTGCAATAGACTACTGCGTACTCGAAGCGAAGCATCGAACAAACGGAGAAATCGAAGCGACGAAGACTGCGATTTTCGAGGAGACCAGCTATTTGAGCGGCTAGTCGGCTACGAAAACGTCGGAAAGGTATGAAATTTCATCAATTTATTCTTTTAACCATTAGATTTTCATGTTAAATATCTTCTATTCTTCTATAATTCTTTTATTCATCAATCTGCTAGTCGCCTATCTTGCTACTGTGCTACCCCTGCGATTCTTCTTATTTCCGCTACTTCCTATTTCATCAATCTTCATTATTCTAATCTTCTTCAGACTTCAATTTTCCATTCATTCATTCTTCGTTCTGCCTTTTGTGCTCTGTTTTGTGTCTGCAGCAGGAAAGCCGAAGCAATGTGTATTATTATTAGTATTTTTTGTATTAAATATTAGGGTCTCCGATTTTTATTTTGAACAAGGCCTCTCATTTGTCATGACCGGCCCGGCCCTGGGTAACACCAGTGTCTTATAAAACTAAGAAAAAAACTACTTGTACATGAATTTTGTACACTCCTTATTGCCTGTGTACACAGACACCTCATTCCAAAGTTGTGTACATAGACAACTAGACATGTGTACAAGAAATATGTACAAATTTCGTGTACTAGTACCACGGCTCTAAAACTAAACCATTCCTATCTTGGGAATAATAAAACACACCTCGTACAATAATATACTAAAACACACCTCGTACCATTATATACTTCTAAATTCTTCCATTATACATTTGTTTATGTATATTTTATGGACATTTCTACGGTGCCTCCACAAATATTGAGGCACCGGTACCTCACCAGCCATAGCCATATCATACAAGGCAAATAATAAAAGACAATTTAAAAATATGAGTGGGCTCCTAAAGTGGCTTCCTGGTGTAGTGGGCATGAATTGGTACCTCCTTTATTTTGCAATGTACCATAGAAGGACCCATATTTTATTCCTCGAGTAATGATTTCTTATATATATATATAGATATAGTGTAGTCCGTAGTAGTGTATATCTCTGGCAGTATCGGTGGGCCTTGACTTATTCGAAGGCAAATAATATTATCCGCAACGAACCGACTCGACCCTTCCCTACGTAGGTACTTCTTCTTCTTCTTCTTATCTCCCAGCCGTTTCCACGATCTCTTCTTCCCCCTCGTCAACCGCCCGCCCACAAACTCCCATTCTTCCCATCCCCTGCCCACACGTACTCACCCTCCCATAATACTCCGGCCCCACCATCACGTGATCATCATTCCCTATATCTCCTCTATTTAACCCCCGCCTTTTTCTCTCATATTCATTCTCCATCTCCATATATATATACAAACACAAATCCAGGCGTAGCTAAGCTAAGGTTGAGGATTATGAGCTGATTTCAGACTTCCAGGCCAGCATGCAAAATCCGCACCTTCACATAGGTAAGTTTCACAAGTATATATGTGTATTTGTGTTGTGCATAGGGAGAGTTTTAGTTCTCGGACTGATGAATTTTTGCACATTTAGCATTTCTCTTTCAATTTTTCCGTGATCAGATATTCGGTTTTCATAAAAGTGAGACATTTTTGTTATCACATTTTTAGCCGAAAACCCGACTTTTTTTATCAAATTTTGATCGTAGTGTGAATTTCAGGACACTATGAATTGAACCGGCCTCAACTACTACTGGGCATGCAAGTGATAAACTAACGGTGTTAAAACCGAATGAACAAGCTTGTTATTTTAATAATAAATAAAAAAGACGAATTGAAAAACCTTTTACCTTTGGATCGTGTAATTAAAAAAGCTCTACTAAACTTAAGAAAAATTTTAATTCTAAAGGTACACACTTTTTGGTGTACACACTTTTTACACATGTGTGTGTAAGGTTTTTTTTTTATGTCTGTACAGACATAACGTATTTTTAAAATACGTTATGTCTGTACAGACATAAAAAAAACCTTACACAAACATGTGTAAAAAATGTGTACACAAAAAGTGTGTACCCCAAGTCCAACTCTAAACTTAATACGGATGGAGTACTAAAAAAGTGGCAGTGCTATGTTTTACTCTGCTACTACTTGCATAAATTGATTAGTTCGGGACAGAGTTTTGGGAAGGGCCACATAGACTTCTCTGTGAAATTCCGTGCGGATTGAGGTTATCCCTATGAGTATAGGTTAATAACCCAATAAAGTCAAAGTCAAACCACGGTAATCATTTTATTTGTGGTGCCCTGCAATTTTAACATTTTATTTGCACTATTCACATATTTTACTTTAATTATATTTAATTAATTAATGTATTATAAATTAAAATTTTAATTAATATTGTTAAATTCTTCTCATTCTAAATATTCAAAATATGATTTTTTAAATTTTTTACTAATAAAGAATGAAAGCTATTAATGGAAAATTGTGTGTTGATAAACGTGAAATGTTGACCGTTGCAATTAAAATGGAACAAATCAAACATGTACTAATGGTTTGTTTGACTACCTATTCTCCGCCAGAGTTTGGTTAGTTTTTACATATTTGTGCGAAGTTTAATTCTCATATAACTACTCAATTTATGCCCTCTTTTCTCTCTTTTCCGCACATAACTCAATCACACAATTTTTACCATTCTTAGTTTTTACTTAATTTAAAGTGTGCATTCGGATATAAGTAATACGGAGTATTAGTTTAGACTACATATTAGGACCTGTGCAAGTATCGGGGACAGCCCCACTCTCTATCTGTCAAATTGTGATTATAGTCCAACTTACATCCGATCGGAGTTGGGGGCCCCTCAAGGATGGTGTGTCATCCTTTTTTAGTTTAGACTACATATATCTAAAAAGGCATATCTCTGACTTCAAAAGAAGTTCGAGTCTTACATATCAATCCTCTATCATTTTTTATTTGATGGAAGATATATTATTTGTTAGACTTGATTCTCAAGTAGCCCTTTAAATTTGGAGTATTTTTTATGAACTGTTTGTTTTCTATGTGAATTTATTTTTTAAATTTCTCACGTAAGCTAAACACCCTTGGCTTACATTTAAGTAGTACCTGTTACATAGTTAACTTTTTAAGTTCCTTCCATATTTTAAAGGTTTAGTATATATGGCTTTGAGTTGGCATATTACACCAAGGGAAATGTCCTATTAACCACTGAGGTTATGTCATAATTATTAATGCAAGCTTGCATTTTCAAAAATCAATTATTTACTTCCTCAGTTTGGATCATTCTCGTTCTTTGCCCCTCACGTTAATATTTGTTAAATTTAAATTTAATATAATTCTTAAATTCAATGAAAAATGTCTATAAAATTAAATTTTAATGTAAAACACAAATTAGTATCATAATTATAAGTCATTGTTGTTGATCGTAGTTAATAAAAAATTAAAATAAATTAAAATCGATGATATTTTAGGTCTTAGATTGATAGCTTTCAATTATTCAGATCATGGAATAATTGGAATAATCATCACACATTTTGTCTTTTAGGTCCCTTATTGATAATAAATCTATATTTTAAGTCATAGAATGATAAAAAAAAACTTGGTATTTCTTCTTTGCTACACACGAAAGAAATGTCATTGCGATTAATTCAACCGAATGAATTACAAATAAGACTTGTATATTCATAATGAAGAA